TAGTTGATGTTGTGGTTGAAGAGGTACTTGATATTATGCAGGAGAGGCAGTTGATGATTGTGTGGCTAGAAGTAGTAGATGTGGATGTGGCGGAGTAGTTGATAATGAGGTGTAGTGGGAGTGATGGATGTATTAAAGAGGTACCTGATGGTTATTGTCGAAGACGGTGCTGGATATTGTCGGTGGCAGAGGTAGATGATGTTGTAGTAAGAGAAGATGTTGTGTTGGTGGTAGATGTGGTTGGTATAAGGAGGGTTATTCGAGATAGTCGACGTTTTAAAAAGATGTAATTGACGTTGTGGGGTTAGAGTAGTTGATGTTGTGGTGTAAGAGGTTATTGATATTGTGGTGGTAGAGGTAGTTGGATGTTGTGGTGGCAGTAAATAGTTGAATGTGGTAGTGGGAGACGGTGTTTGTAATGAGGTGGTGGAGGGAGATGATGTAGTGGAAAGAGGTATTGTTGTTATCGTCGAAGAGGGTACTTGATATTGTGGTAGTAGAGGTAGATGATATTGTAGTAGAGGAAGTGACTGTGGTGGGTGGGAGATGTAGTTGATTTGGGGTGTGTAGAGACAGGTCGATGTTTTAATAGATGCAGTTGGGTGTTTGGGGGAAAAAATTTTTAGTGGTTGGGATAGAGCGAAGTTGATATTGTGGTGGGAAAAGGTTATGATGTTATGATGGTAGAGGGAGTTGATGTTGTGATGTTGAAGAGGTAGTTGATATTGTGGTAATACAAGGTAGTTGGAATGTGGTGGTAGAGGTACTGATGTTGTAGAGGAAGTCGAAATTGAAGTAGAGGTTGTAGGACAGAGTTGATGCAGTTGTGGTAAAAGTAGTTGATATCGTCGGTTGGTTAGAAGAAAATTGATGGTTGTGGTGAGAGACGTAGTGATAGTGTGGTTGGTTGAGGATAGTGGCAAAGAATGTGCTGATACTAGGGGAAGTTGATGTAGTCGGTGGGTGACATGGTTGAAATTAGTGTTGGATGTCGTCGACTGTTGATTTTCTGGTGGTAGCCATAGTCGTTTTTATAGTTGAAGGGATAGTTGATTTTGTGGTTGTCGAGGTAGTTGATTTGGGGCGAGATGTAGTTGATACGTATGGAATGAGGTAGTTGATGTGGTAGTAGAAGAAGTAGTTGTGTTGAAGAGGTAATTGAATCGATGTTGCACTCCGGAAGGTAGTTGATGATACAGTAGATATAGTCGATATGGTGATAGAGGTACTTGGGACGATTGTAATGGAGACGTTTGTTGATGAAGTGGTGGGAAAGGTAGTTGATTGAAGTTGTTGTAGTGCTTGTTTGGATGTTTGGTAGTAGAAAAAATGATGTTGTCTAAAGGAAGTTGCATGTGATGCGTTGATAATGTGGTGGGAGAGATAGTTGAAGTAGAGGAAAGACTTAGATGATTTAGTGCGAGATGTAGTTGTAATGGTGGGAGTGATATGTTTGATTTTGTGGTGGTCAAGGAGGGTGATGTTTTGGTGGCAGAGGTAGCTGATGTTGTGGTGGAAGAAGCCGTAGATGTTTGAGGTTGTTAAAGGTTAATTGATGTTGTGGCAGGAGAAGTACTTGATGTGAAATGAGAGGGGTTGTTTTTATGTGGCGTAGTTGTATTTTGATGCGAGGGAGTTGTTTTTGATGTTACACTCGTTGAGGTATAGTTGTTAAAATTGGTTTGGGGAATTTGGTTTATTGCGGTGGTAGGGGGTATATGTGTTTCAGTGGAAAAGGTGCTTGATGTTTCAGGTTTGACGAGGATTTTTGAAATTGTCCTGGAAAAAGGAAATGATATTGTGGTTTTTTAGGTAGTTGAGGGTTTTGGTAAAAACAAATTGATGTTTTGGTGGTAGATGAAGTTGAAGGTGTGGAGGAAGATGTAGTTATTGTGTGGAGGGGAAACTTTTGTTGGGTTAAAAGTGGCAGTAGATGTGCTGATAGGGGAAGTTGGGGTTGTTGGGGGTAGAGGTTTGTTTTTTTGGTGGTAGATGTATTTGATTTTATTGTGGAAGACGTAGTTGGGATAAAAATAGTGGTTTTTTTGCGGGTTGATGGATGGGGGTTAAAAGGGAGTTGATAAAGTGGTGGAAGAAGTTGATTTGATAGAAGTAGTTGGGGTTGTGAAGAAGTTGTTTCGGTGGTGGTAGAGAGATTTTATATTTTTGGTTTAAAGTTTTTTTTAGATGTTAAGTGGCCGTAGATGTGCTGTTGTAGAGGAAAGGGGTTTTGGTGGTTTGAGGCAGGTTTACGTAGATTTTTTGGTGGTCGAGGTAGTTGATTTTAGATTTTTGTCGTGGCAAGGAAGGGTTTATGTAGATTTTTTGGTGGTTGGGTAGTTGATGTAGTTTTTTTTGGTGGTCAAGGTAAATGATTTTTAAGATTTTTTTTTTGGTTTTTTGGGAGAAAAAGTAGATTTCCTTTTGGGGGTCGGGGGGTAGTTGTAGTTTTTTTGGTGGTCGAGGGGAGAAAGGAAAAATTTTTTGGGTGGGTTTGGGGTTGATGATGTTTATTTCTTGGTGGTCGGGATAGTGATGTAGAAATTTTTTTTTTTGGCCCGGGGTAAAAATTTTAGATTTCTTTTGGTTTGGGGGAGTTATGGAGATTTTATGGTTGAGGTAGATGATGTAGGTTTTTTGGTGGTCGGGGGGAAAAACGATGTAGGTTTTTTTTGGGGGGTCCAGGGGAGTGTTTGATTTTTTGGTGGTAGGGGAAGTTGATGTAGATTTTCTGGTGGTCGAGTAGATGATGTTTTGTTTTTTTTGGGGGTTTTGGGAAAAGATGAAAAGTAGAATTTTTTTGGTGGTTTTTGGGATTAATGTAGATTTTTTTGGGGGGTCGTGAAGGGTGAGTAGGGTTTCTTTGGGGGTTGAGGCAGATTTTTTTGTAGCGGGTGATGATTAAATTTTTTGGTGGTTTTGGGGTAGATGTAGGGTTTTTTTTGGGGGGTGGGGTGTTTGATGTAGATTTCTGGTGGGTTTGAAAAGGGTGAAAGTAGAAATTTTTTTGGGGGTCGGGGGGAGACATGGTTTTTTGGGGATAGGTTAGATGATGTTTGATTTTGTGGTGGTAGGGGACGGGTGATGTAAAATTTTCTGGGGGGTCTGTGAAAAAGATTTTAGATTTTTTAGTGGTTGAGGTTGTTTTATGGTGAGGTTGGTTGGAAGAAGTTGATTTTTGTGGTTTGGGCCCAGTTAGTTGGAGGGTGGGGGTAGGGCGTTAGTTGATTTTGTTTTTTGTAGGGGTACTTTAAATTTTGTGGTGGTCGAGGGGCCCCGTTTTTATGGTTTTAAGGGAAATGGTAGATGAATTTTTAGAGGTAATTGTTTGGTGGAGAAAATACTTGATGTTTTTAGTGGGGAGATGTTTGCTGATATTGTGGAGGGGAAGGAAAGGAAAATTGATGTTGTGGTAGTTGGGAAGATGTGGTGGTGGGGGAGGTGTTTATGTGGGAAAGGGTTTCAGAGGGCCCCTTTGATGTTGTATACATGTAGTTGATTTTGGTGGTGGTTTTAGAGGGGAGTTGATGTGGGTTGGGGGGTCGAAAGGGGGTTGATGCAGGGAGTGGTTTGACTTTTTTGATTTTGGGGGGTCGAAGTGGTTGATGTTATAGTTTTAAGAAAATTGGGTAAACGAGGGGTGAAGAGGTAAAAATTTATGTTGTTTAAAAAGTATTAGATTTTGGGACTGGGAAATGTGATGATATTGTTGTGGGAGAAGTAGTTCTTGTAGTGGAATAGTTAAATTGTGTTATTGTGGAAAAAGTTCTTGGGTTATCGTGGTAGAGGAAGATGATGTGGTTGTGGGAGAGATAGTTGATGTTGTTATAAGCGTAGTTGATGTGGCAGTGGCAGAGGTAGTTGATGTTGTGGTTGAAGAGGTACTTGATATTGTGGTGGTAGAGGTAGATGATGTTGTAGTAGAGGAAGATGATGTGCTGGTGGGAGATGTAGTTGATATGAAGGTGGTAGAGACAGTCGATGTTTTAATAGATGTAGTTGATGTTGATGTGGTTGGGATAGAGGAAGTTAATATTGTTGTAGAAGAGGTACTTGATGTTATGAAGATAGAGGGAGTTGATGTTAAACTTGAAGAGGTAGTCGATGTTTTAATGGAAGTGGTAGTTGATATTGTGGTAATAAAGGTAGTTGGTGCGGTGGTAGAGGTACTTGATGTTGTAGCAGAAGACGAAATTGAAGTAGAGGTGGTAGACAGAGTTGATGAAGTTGTGGTAAAAGTAGTTGATATTGTGTTGGTAGAAGAAATTGATGGTGTAGTGAGAGACGTAGTTGATAGTGTGGTGGTTGATGAGATAGTGGCAATAGATGTGCTGATAACAGGGGAAGTTGATGTAGTGGTGGGTGACATGGTTGAAATTAGTGTTGATGTCGTCGACATAGTTGACGGTGTGGTGGTAGACATAGTCGAATTTGTAGTTGAAGCGATAGTTGTTTTTGTGGTTGCCGAGGTACTTGATTTGGGGCGAGATGTAGTTGATACGAAGGACGAGGTAGTTGATGTGGTAGTAGAAGAAGTTGATGTTGTAATCGAAGAGGTAATTGATGTTTCACTCGAAAAGGTAGTTGATGATACAGTAGATATAGTCGATATGGTGATAGAGGTACTTGACGATGTAATGGAAGACGTAGTTGATGAAGTGTTGGGAAAGGTAGTTGATGAAGTTGTTGTAGAGATTGTTGATGTTATGGTAGTAGACGAAGCTGATGTAGTTCTAAAGGAAGTTGATGAGATGGTTGATAATGTGGTGGAAGAGATAGTTGAAGTAGAGGAAGACTTAGATGATGTAGTGAGAGATGTAGTTGTAGTGGTGGAAGTGATAGTTGATTTTGTGGTGGTCAAGGTGGATGATGTTATGGTGGAAGAGGTAGCTGATGTTATGGTGGAAGAAGTCGTAGATGTTGAGGTTGTAAAGGTAATTGATGTTGTGGCAGGAGAAGTACTTGATGTGAGAGTGAGAGAGGTAGTTGATACTGTGGTGCTAGTGGTAGTTGATGATGAGGGAGACGTTCTTGATGTTACACTCGTTGAGGTACTAGATGTTACAATGGTTGAGGAACTTGATATTGCGGGGGAAGAGGAAACTGATATTGTGGTGATATAGGTAGTTGATGTTGTGGTAAAAGCAGTTGATGTTGTGGAGGTAGATGAAGTTGATGGTGTGGAGGAAGCTGTTGATGTTATAGTGGCAGTAGATGTGCTGATAGGAGAAGTTGATGTTGTTGTGGTAGAGGTAGTTTTTGTGGTGGTAGATGTATTTGATGTTATAGTGGAAGACGTAGTTGGAGTAGTGGTGGTAGAGGGAGTTGATGGAGTGGTGGTAGAGGTAGTTGATAATGTGGTGGAAGAAGTTGATTTGATAGAAGTAGTTGACGTTGTGGAAGAAGTTGATGCGGTGGTGGTAGAGAGAGTTGATATTGTGGTGAAAGTTTTTGTAGATGTTACAGTGGCAGTAGATGTGCTGATAGTAGAGGAAGGTGTTTTGGTGGTAGAGGCAGTTGACGTAGATTTTGTGGTGGTCGAGGTAGTTGATGTAGATTTTGTCGTGGACAAAGTAGATGATGTAGATTTTTTGGTGGTCTGGGTAGTTGATGTAGATTTTATGGTGGTCGAGGTAAATGATGTAGATTTTTTGGTGGTCTTGGTAGAAGATGTAGATTTTTTGGTGGTAAGGGTAGTTGTAGATTTTGTGGTGGTCGAGGTAGAGGAAGATTTTTTGGTGGTTGAAGTAGATGATGCAGATTTCTTGGTGGTCGGGATAGATGATGTAGATTTTTTGGTGGCAGGGGTAGATGTAGATTTCTTGGTGGTTGGGATAGTTGATGTAGATTTTTTGGTGGTCGATGTAGATGATGTAGATTTCTTGGTGGTCGAGGTAGATGTAGATTTTTTGGTGGATGGGGTGGTGGATGTAGACTTTTTGGTGGTCGAAGTAGATGTAGATTTTTTGGTGGTCGGGGTAGACGAAGGTTTTTTGGTGGACAGGTTAGATGATGAAGATTTTGTGGTGGTAGGGAACGATGATGTAGATTTTCTGGTGGTCGGTGAAACTGATGTAGATTTTTTAGTGGTTGAGGTTGTTGATGGTGAGGTTGCCGAAGAAGTTGATATTGTGGTGGCCGAGTTAGTTGGAGTTGTGTTAGACGTAGTTGATTTTGTTGTTGTAGGGGTACTTAATTTCGTGGTGGTCGAGGTAGCTGATGTTATGGTTGAAGAAGTGGTAGATGAAGTTGTAGAGGTAATTGTTGTGGTGAGAGAAGTACTTGATGTTGTAGTGGCAGATGTAGCTGATATTGTGGAGGTAGAGGAAGTTGATGTTGTGGTAGTAGAGGAAGATGTGGTGGTGGGAGAGGTAGCTGATGTGGAGGTTGCAGAGACAGTCGATGTTGTACTACATGTAGTTGATGTGGTGGTGGTAGAGGTAGTTGATGTGGTGGTGGTCGAAAGAGTTGATGCAGCGGTTGTAGACATTGTTGATTTTGTGGTGGTTGAAGTGGTTGATGTTATAGTTGAAGAAGTGGTAAACGAGATTGAAGAGGTAATTGATGTTGTGGCAGAAGTATTAGATGTGGTACTGGCAAATGTAGATGATATTGTTGTGGTAGAAGTAGTTCTTGTAGTGGAATAGTTACTTGATGTTATTGTGGAAGAAGTTCTTGTTATTATCGTGGTAGAGGAAGATGATGTGGTTGTGGAAGAGATAGTTGATGTTGTTATAAGCGTAGTTGATGTGGCGGTGGCTGAGGTAGTTGATATTGTGGTTGAAGAGGTACTTGATATTATGATGGTAGACACAGTTGATGTTGTGGTGGCAGAAGTAGTTGATGTGGTGGTGGCGGAGGTAGTTGATAATGAGGTGGTGGAGGGAGATGATGTAGAGTAAGAGGTACTTCTTGTTATCGTCGAAGAGGTACTTGATATTGTGGTGGTAGAGGAAGATGATGTGGTGGTGTGAGATGTAGTTGATATGAAGGTGGTAGAGACAGTCGATGTTTTAATAGATGTAGTTGATGTGGTGGGGGTAGAGGTGGTTGAAAATGAGATGGTAGAGGGAGTTGATGATGGTGTTGAAGAGCTTCTCGATGTTATCGTCGAAGAGGTACTTGATATTGTGGTGGTAGAGGTAGATGATATTGTAGTAGAGGAAGATGATGTGGTTGATATGGAGGTGGTAGAGACAGTCGATATTTTAATAGATGTAGTTGATGTTGATGTGGTTGGGATAGAGGAATTTAATATTGTGGTGTAAGAGGTACTTGATGTTATGATGGTAGAGGGAGTTGATGTTAAAGTTGAAGAGGTAGTCGATGTTTTAATGGAAGAGGTAGTTGACATTGTGGTAATAAAGGTAGCTGATGTGGTGGTAGAGGTACTTGATGTTGTAGCAGAAGACGAAATTGAAGTAGAGGTGGTAGACAGAGTTGATGCAGTTGTGGTAAAAGTAGTTGATATTGTGGTGGAAGAAGAAATTGATGGTGTGGTGAGAGACGTAGTTGATAGTGTGGTGGTTGATGAGATAGTGGCAATAGATGTGCTGATAGGAGGAGAAGTTGATGTAGTGGTGGGTGACATGGTTGAAATTAGTGTTGATGTCGTCGACATAGTTGATGTTTTGGTGGTAGACATAGTCGATTTTGCGGTTGAAAAGATAGTTGATTTTGTGGCTGTCGAGGTAGTTGATTTGGGGCGAGAAGCAGTTGATACGAAGGAAGAGGTAGTTGATATGGTAGTAGAAGAAGTTGATGTTGTAGTTGAAGAGGTAATTGATGTTTCACTCGAAAAGGTAGTTGATGATGCAGTAGATATAGTCGATATGGTGATCGAGGTGCTTGACGATGTAATGGAAGACGTAGTTGATGAAGTGGTGAGAAAGGTAGTTGATGAAGTTGTTGTAGAGATTGTTGATGTTATGGTAGTAGACGAAGCTGATGTAGTTCTAAAGGAAGTTGATGTGATGGTTGATAATGTGGTGGAAGAGATAGTTGAAGTAGAGGAAGACTTAGATGATGTAGTGAGAGATGTAGTTGTAATGTTGGAAGTGATAGTTGATTTTGTGGTGGTCAAGGTGGATGATGTTATGGTGGAAGAGGTAGCTGATGTTATGGTGGAAGAAGTCGTAGATGTTGAGGTTGTAAAGGTAATTGATGTTGTGGCAGGAGAAGTACTTGATGTGATAGTGAGAGAGGTAGTTGATACTGTGGCGCTAGTGGTAGTTGATGACGAGGGAGACGTTCTTGATGTTACACTCGTTGAGGCACTAGATGTTACAATCGTTGAGGAACTTGATATTGCAGTGGTAGAGGTATATGATGTTTCAGTGGAAAAGGTACTTGATGTTACAGTCGACGAGGAACTTGAAATTGTGGTGGAAGAGGAAACTGATATTGTGGTGATGTAGGTAGTTGATGTTGTGGTAAAAGCAGTTGATGTTGTGGTGGTAGATGAAGTTGGGTGCTGTGGAGGAAGATGTAGTTGATAGTGTGGAGGAAGCTGTTGATGTTATAGTGGCAGTAGATGTGCTGATAGGAGAAGTTGATGTTGTTGTGGTAGAGGTAGTTTTTGTGGTGGTAGATGTATTTGATGTTATAGTGGAAGACGTAGTTGGAGTAGTGGTGGTAGAGGGAGTTGATGGAGTGGTGGTAGAGGTAGTTGATAATGTGGTGGAAGAAGTTGATTTGATAGAAGTAGTTGACGTTGTGGAAGAAGTTGATGCGGTGGTGGTAGAGAGTTGATATTGTGGTGAAAGTTTTTGTAGATGTTACAGTGGCAGTGATGTGCTGATAGTAGAGGAAGGTGTTTTGGTGGTAGAGGCAGTTGACGTAGATTTTGTGGTGGTCGAGGTAGTTGATGTAGATTTTGTCGTGGACAAGGTAGATGACGTAGATTTTTTGGTGGTCTTGGTAGAAGATGTAGATTTTTTGGTGGTCGGTGTAGTTGTAGATTTTGTGGTGGTCGAGGTAGAGGAAGATTTTTTGGTGGTTGGGGTAGATGATGTAGATTTCTTGGTGGTCGGGATAGATGATGTAGATTTTTTGGTGGCAGGGGCAGATGTAGATTTCTTGGTGGTTGGGGTGGTTGATGTAGATTTTATGGTTGAGGTAGATGATGTTGGTTTTTTGGTGGTCGGGGAAGACGATGTAGATTTTTTGGTGGTCCGAGTAGATGATGTAGATTTTTTGGCGATCTGAGTAGATGTAGATTTTTTAGTGGTTGGAACAGATGTAGATTTTTTGGTGGTCCTGGTAGTTGATGTAGATTTTGTGGTGGTCGAGGTAGACGATGTAGATTTTTTGGTGGTCGATTTAGATGATGTAGATTTGTTGGTGGTCAGGGTAGATGATATAGATTTTTTGGTGGTCCTGGTAGTTGATGTAGATTTTTTGGTGGATGGGGTGGTCGATGTAGACTTTTTGGTGGTCGAAGTAGATGTAGATTTTCTGGTGGTCGGTGAAACTGATGTAGATTTTTTTGTGGTTGTGGTTGTTGATGGTGAGGTTGCCGAATAAGTAGATATTGTGGTGGCCGTGTTAGTTGGAGTTGTGGTAGACGTAGTTGATTTTGTTGTTGTAGGGGTACTTAATTTTGTAGTGGTCGAGGTAGCTGATGTTATGGTTGAAGTGGTAGATGAAGTTGTAGAGGTAATTGTTGTGGTGGGAGAAGTACTTGATGTTGTAGTGGCAGACGTAGCTGATATTGTGGTGGTAGAGGAAGTTGATGTTGTGGTAGTAGAGGAAGATGTGGTGGTGGGAAAGGTAGCTGATGTGGAGGTTGCAGAGACAGTCGATGTTGTAATAGATGTAGTTGATGTGGTGGTGGTAGAGGTAGTTGAAGTGGTGGTGGTCGAGAGAGAGTTGATGCAGCGTTGGTAGACATTGTTGATTTTGTGGTGGTCGAAGTGGTTGATGTTATAGTTGAAGAAGTGGTAGACGAGATTGAAGAGGTAATTGATGTTGTGGCAGAAGTATTAGATGTGGTACTGGCAAATGTAGATGATATTGTTGTGGTAGAAGTAGTTCTTGTAGTGGAATAGTTACTTGATGTTATTGTGGAAGAAGTTCTTGTTATTATCGTGGTAGAGGAAGATGATGTGGTTGTGGGAGAGATAGTTGATGTTATAAGCGTAGTTGATGTGGCAGTGGCAGAGGTAGTTGATGTTGTGGTTGAAGAGGTACTTGATATTATGCTGGTAGAGGTAGTTGATGTTGTGGTGGCAGAAGTAGTTGAAGTGGTAGTGGCAGAGGTAGTTGATGTTGTGGTTGAAGAGGTAGTTGATGTTGGGGTGGTAGAGGCAGTTGATGTTGTGTTGGCAGAAGTAGTTGATGTGGTGGTGGCGGAGGTAGTTGATAATGAGGTGGTAGAGGGAGTTGATGATGCAGTTGAAGAGGTATTTGATGTTATAGTAGAAGAGGTACTTGATATTGTGGAGGTAGAGGTAGATGATGTTGTAGTAGGAGAAGATGATGTGGTGGTGGTAGATGTGGTTGGTATGAAGGTGGTCGAGATAGTTGACGTTTTAACAGACGTAATTGATGTGATGGGGGTAGAGGTAGTTGATATTTTGGTGTAAGAGGTACTTGATATTATGCTGGCAGAGGTAGTTGATGTTGTGGTGGCAGAAGTAGTTGATAATGAGGTGGTGGAGGGAGATGATGTAGAGTAAGAGGTACTTGTTATTGTCGAAGAGGTACTTGATATTGTGGTGGTAGAGGTAGATGATGTTGTAGTAGAGGAAGATGATGTGGTGGTGTGAGATGTAGTTGATATGAAGGTGGTAGAGACAGTCGATGTTTTAATAGATGTAGTTGATGTGGTGGGGGTAGAGGTGGTTGAAAATGATATGGTAGAGGGAGTTGATGATGGAGTTGAAGAGCTTCTCGATGTTATCGTCGAAGAGGTACTTGATATTGTGGTGGTACAGGAAGATGATGTTGCAGTAGAAGAAGATGATGTGGTTGTGGGAGATGTGGTTGATATGGAGGTGGGAGAGACAGTCGATATTTTAATAGATGTAGTTGATGTTGATGTGGTTGGGATAGAAGAAGTTAATATTGTGGTGGAAGAGGTACTTGATGTTATGATGGTAGAGGGAGTTGATGTTGAAGTTGAAGAGGTAGTCGATGTTTTAATGGAAGCGGTAGTTGATATTGTGGTAATAAAGGTAGCTGATGTGGTGGTAGAGGTACTTGATGTTGTAGCAGAAGACGAAATTGATGTAGAGGTGGTAGACAGAGTTGATGCAGTTGTGGTAAAAGTAGTTGATATTGTGGTGGTAGAAGAAATTGATGGTGTGGTGAGAGACGTAGTTGATAGTGTGGTGGTTGATGAGATAGTGGCAATAGATGTGCTGATAGGAGGGGAAGTTGATGTAGTGGTGGGTGACATGGTTGAAATTAGTGTTGATGTCGTCGACATAGTTGATGGTCTGGTGGTAGACATAGTCGATTTTATAGTTGAAGGGATAGTTGATTTTGTGGCTGTCGAGGTAGTTGATTTGGGGCGAGAAGTAGTTGATACGAAGGAAGAGGTAGTTGATGTGGTAGTAGAAGAAGTTGATGTTGTAGTTGAAGAGGTAATTGATGTTCCACTCGAGAAGGTAGTTGATGATGCAGTAGATATAGTGGATATGGTGATAGAGGTGCTTGACGATGTAATGGAAGACGTAGTTGATGAAGTGGTGGGAAAGGTAGTTGATGAAGTTGTTGTAGAGATTGTTGATGTTATGGTAGTAGACGAAACTGATGTAGTTCTAAAAGAAGTTGATGTGATGGTTGATAATGTGGTGGAAGAGATAGTTGAAGTAGAGGAAGACTTAGATGATGTAGTGAGAGATGTAGTTGTAATGTTGGAAGTGATAGTTGATTTTGTGGTGGTCAAGGTGGATGATGTTATGGTGGAAGAGGTAGCTGATGTTATGGTGGAAGAAGCCGTAGATGTTGAGGTTGTAAAGGTAATTGATGTTGTGGCAGGAGAAGTACTTGATGTGATAGTGAGAGAGGTAGTTGATACTGTGGCGGTAGTGGTAGTTGATGACGAGGGAGACGTTCTTGATGTTACACTCGTTGAGGCACTAGATGTTACAATCGTTGAGGAACTTGATATTGCAGTGGTAGAGGTATATGATGTTCAGTGGAAAAGGTACTTGATGTTACAGTCGACGAGGAACTTGAAATTGTGGTGGAAGAGGAAACTGATATTGTGGTGATGTAGGTAGTTGATGTTGTGGTAAAAGCAGTTGATGTTGTGGTGGTAGATGAAGTTGATGCTGTGGAGGAAGATGTAGTTGATAGTGTGGAGGAAGCTGTTGATGTTATAGTGGCAGTAGATGTGCTGATAGGAGAAGTTGATGTTGTTGTGGTAGACGTAGTTTTTGTGGTGGTAGATGTATTTGATGTTATAGTGGAGGACGTAGTTGGAGTAGTGGTGGTAGAGGGAGTTGATGGAGAGGTGGTAGAGGTAGTTGATAATGTGGTGGAAGAAGTTGATTTGATAGAAGTAGTTGACATTGTGGAAGAAGTTGATGCGGTGGTGGTAGAGAGAGTTGATATTGTGGTGAAAGTTTTTGTAGATGTTACAGTGGCAGTAGATGTGCTGATAGTAGAGGAAGGTGTTTTGGTGGTAGAGGCAGTTGACGTAGATTTTGTGGTGGTCGAGGTAGTTGATGTAGATTTTGTCGTGGACAAGGAAGATGATGTAGATTTTTTGGTGGTCTGGGTAGTTGATGTAGATTTTGTGGTGGTCGAGGTAAATGATGTAGATTTTTTGGTGGTCTTGGTAGAAGATGTAGATTTTTTGGTGGACGGGGTAGTTGTAGATTTTGTGGTGGTCGAGGTAGAGGAATACTTTTTGGTGGTCGGGGTAGATGATGTTGATTTCTTGGTGGCAGGGGTAGATGTAGATTTCTTGGTGGTTGGGGTAGTTGATGTAGATTTTGTGGTGGTTGAGGTAGATGATGTGGATTTTTTGGTGGTCGGGGAAGACGATGTAGATTTTTTGGTGGTCCGGGTAGATGATGTAGATTTTTTGGTGATCGGGGTAGATGTAGATTTTTTGGTGGTAGGGGAAATTGATGTAGATTTTCTGGTTTTCGAAGTAGATGATGTAGATTTTTTCGTGGTTGGAGCAGATGATGTAGATTTTTTGGTGGTCCTGGTAGTTGATGTAAATTTTGTGGTGATCGACCTAGATGGTGTAGATTTCTTGGTGGTCGGGGTAGATGATGTAGATTTCTTGATGGTCGAGGTAGATGATGTAGATTTTTTGGTGGTCGGGGTAGATGTAGATTTTTTGGTGGATGGGGTGGTCGATGTAGACTTTTTGGTGGTCGACGTAGATGATGTAGATTTTTTGGTGGTCGGGGTAGACGTAGGTTTTTTGGTGGACAGGTTAGATGATGTAGATTTTGTGGTGGTAGGGGACGATGATGTAGATTTTCTGGTGGTCTGTGAAACTGATGTAGATTTTTTAGTGGTTGAGGTTGTTGATGGTGAGGTTGCCGAAGAAGTTGATATTGTGGTGGCCGAGTTAGTTGGAGTTGTGTTAGACGTAGTTGATTTTGTTGTTGTAGGGGTACTTAATTTTGTGGTGGTCGAAGTACCTGATGTTATGGTTGAAGAAGTGGTAGATGAAGTTGTAGATGTAATTGTTGTGGTGAGAGAAGTACTTGATGTTGTAGTGACAGACGTAGCTGATATTGTGGTGGTAGAGGAAGTTGATGTTGTGGTAGTAGAGGCTGATGTGGGAGTGGGAGAGGTAGCTGATGTGGAGGTTGCAGAGAGAGTCGATGTTGTAATATATGTAGTTGATGTGGTGGTGGTAGAGGTAGTTGATGTGGTGGCGGCTGCGAGAGTTGATGCAGCGGTGGTAGACATTGTTGATTTTGTGGTGGTTGAAGTGGTTGATGTTATAGTTGAAGAAGTGGTAAACGAGACTGAAGAGGTAATTGATGTTGTGGCAGAAGTATTAGATGTGGTACTGGCAAATGTAGATGATATTGTTGTGGTAGAAGTAGTTCTTGTAGTGGAATAGTTACTTGATGTTATTGTGGAAGAAGTTCTTGTTATTATCGTGGTAGAGGAAGATGATGTGGTTGTGGGAGAGATAGTTGATGTTGTTATAAGCGTAGTTGATGTGGCAGTGGCAGAGGTAGTTGATGTTGTGGTTGAAGAGGTACTTGATATTATGCTGGTAGAGGCAGTTGATGTTGTAGTGGCAGAAGTAGTTGATGTGATGGTGGCGGAGGTAGTTGATAATGAGGTGGTAGTGGGAGTTGATGATGTAGTTAAAGAGGTACCTGATGTTATTGTCGAAGAGGTGCTTGATATTGTGGTGGCAGAGGTAGATGATGTTGTAGTAGAGGAAGATGATGTGGTGGTGGTAGATGTGGTTGGTATTAAGGTGGTAGAGATAGTCGACGTTTTAACAGTGTAATTGATGTGGTGGGGGGTAGAGGTAATTGATATTGTGGTGTAAGAGGTACTTGATATTATGGTGGTAGAGGTGTTGATGTTGTGGTGGCAGAAATAGTTGAAGTGGTAGTGGCAGAGGTAGTTGGTAATGAGGTGGTGGAGGGAGATGATGTAGTGGAAGAGGTACTTGTTGTTATCGTCGAAGAGGTACTGATATTGTGGTAGTAGAGGTAGAGGATATTGTAGTAGAGGAAGATGATGTGGTGGTGGAAGATGTAGTTGATATGGGGTGGTAGAGACAGTCGATGTTTTAATAGATGTAGGTTGGTGTTGATGTGGTTGGGATAGAGGAAGTTGATATTGTGGTGGAAAAGGTACTTGATGTTATGATGGTAAAGGGAGTTGATGTTGAAGTTGAAGAGGTAGTCGATGTTTTAATGGAAGAGGTAGTTGATATTGGGGTTTAATAAAGGTAGTTGATGTGGTGGTAGAGGTACTTGATGTTGTAGCAGAAGACGAAATTGAAGTAGAGGTGGTAGAAAGAGTTGATGCAGTTGTGGTAAAAGTAGTTGATATTGTGGTGGTAGAAGAAATTGATAGTGTGGTGAGAGATGTAGTTGATAGTGTGGTGGTTGATGAGACAGTGGCAATAGATGTGCTGATAGGAGGGGAAGTTGATGTAGTGGTGGGTGACATGGATGAAATTAGTGTTGATGTCGTCGACATAGTTGATGTTCTGGTGGTAGACATAGTCGATTTTATAGTTGAAGGGATAGTTGATTTTGTGGTTGTCGCGGTAGTTGATTTGGGGCGAGATGTAGTTGATACGAAGGAAGAGGTAGTTGATGTGGTAGTAGAAGAAGTTGATGTTGTAGTTGAAGAGATAATTGATGTTCCACTCGAGAAGGTAGTTGATGATGCAGTAGATATAGTGGATATGGTGATAGAGGTACTTGACGATGTAATGGAAGACGTAGTTGATGAAGTGGTGGGAAAGGTAGTTGATGAAGTTGTTGTAGAGATTGTTGATGTTATGGTAGTAGACGAAACTGATGTAGTTCTAAAGGAAGTTGATGTGATGGTTGATAATGTGGTGGAAGAGATAGTTGAAGCAGAGGAAGACTTAGATGATGTAGTGAGAGATGTAGTTGTAATGGTGGAAGTGATAGTTGATTTTGTGGTGGTCAAGGTGGATGATGTTATGGTGGCAGAGGTAGCTGATGTTATGGTGGAAGAAGCCGTAGATGTTGAGGTTGTAAAGGTAATTGATGTTGTGGCAGGAGAAGTACTTGATGTGACAGTGAGAGAGGTAGTTATGATGGTAGAGGGAGTTGATGTTGAAGTTGAAGAGGTAGTCGATGTTTTAATGGAAGAGGTAGGTGATATTGTGGTAATAAAGGTAGTTGATGTGGTGGTAGAGGTACTTAATGTTGTAGCAGAAGACAAAATTGAAGTAGAGGTGGTAGACAGAGTTGATGCAGTTGTGGTAAAAGTAGTTGATTTTGTGGTGGTAGAAGAAATTGATGTTGTGGTGAGAGACGTAGTTGATGGTGTGGTGGTTGATGAGATAGTGGCACTAGATGTGCTGATAGGAGGGGAAGTTGATGTAGTGGTGGGTGACATGGTTGAAATTAGTGTTGATGTCGTCGACATAGTTGATGTTCTGGTGGTAGACATAGTCGATTTTATAGTTGAAGGGATAGTTGATTTTGTGGTTGTGGAGGTAGTTGATTTGGGGCGAGATGTAGTTGATACGAAGGAAGAGGTAGTTGATGTGGTAGTAGAAGAAGTTGATGTTGTAGTTGAAGAGGTAATTGATGTTCCACTCCAGAAGGTAGTTGATGATGCAGTAGATATAGTCGATATGGTGATAGAGGTACTTGACGATGTAATGGAAGACGTAGTTGATGAAGTGGTGGGAAAGGTAGTTGATGAAGTTGTTGTAGAGATTGTTGATGTTATGGTAGTAGACGAAACTGATGTAGTTCTAAAGGAAGTTGATGTGATGGTTGATAATGTGGTGGAAGAGATAGTTGAAGTAGAAGAAGACTTTGATGATGTAGTGAGAGATGTAGTTGTAATGGTGGAAGTGATAGTTGATTTTGTGGTGGTCAAGGTGGATGATGTTATGGTGGAAGAGGTAGCTGATGTTATGGTGGAAGAAGCCGTAGATGTTGAGGTTGTAAAGGTAATTGATGTTGTGGCAGGAGAAGTACTTGATGTGATAATGAGAGAGGTAGTTGATACTGTGGCGCTAGTGGTAGTTGATGACGAAGGAGATGTTCTTGATGTTACACTCGTTGAGGTACTAGATGTTACAATGGTTGAGGTACTAGATGTTACAATGGTTGAGGAACTTGATATTGCGGTGGTAGAGGTATATGATGTTTCAGTGGAAAAGGTGCTTGATGTTTCAGTCGACGAGGATCTTGAAATTGTGGTGGAAGAGGAAACTGATATTGTGGTGATATAGGTAGTTGATGTTGTGGTAAAAGCTGTTGATGTTGTGGTGGTAGATGAAGTTGATGCTGTGGAGGAAGATGTAGTTGATGGTGTGGAGGAAGCTGTTGATGTTATAGTGGCAGTAGATGTGCTGATAGGAGAAGTTGATGTTGTTGTGGTAGAGGTAGTTTTTGTGGTGGTAGATGTATTTGATGTTATAGTGGTAGACGTAGTTGGAGTAGTGGTGGTAGAGGGAGTTGATGGAGTGGTGGTAGAGGTAGTTGATAATGTGGTGGAAGAAGTTGATTTGATAGAAGTAGTTGACGTTGTGGAAGAAGTTGATGCGGTGGTGGTAGAGAGAGTTGATATTGTGGTGAAAGTTTTTGTAGATGTTACAGTGGCAGTAGATGTGCTGATAGTAGAGGAAGGTGTTTTGGTGGTAGAGGCAGTTGACGTAGATTTTGTGGTGGTCCAGGTAGTTGATGTAGATTTTGTCGTGGACAAGGAAGATGATGTAGATTTTTTGGTGGTCTGGGTAGTTGATGTAGATTTTGTGGTGGTCGAGGTAAATGATGTAGATTTTTTGGTGGTCTTGGTAGAAGATGTAGATTTTCTGGTGGTCGGTGTAGTTGTAGATTTTGTGGTTGTCGAGGTAGAGGAAGATATTTTGGTGGTTGGGGTAGATGATGTACATTTTATGGTTGAGGTAGATGATGTTGGTTTTTTGGTGGTCGGGGAAGACGATGTAGATTTTTTGGTGGTCTGAGTAGATGATGTAGATTTTTTGGTGATCTGAGTAGATGTAGATTTTTTGGCAGTTGGAACAGATGATGTAGATTTTTTGGTGGTTCTGGGAGTTGATTTAGATTTTGTGGTGGTCGAGGTAGACGATGTGGATTTGTTGGTGGTCGGGGTAGATGGTGTAGATTTTTTGGTGGTCGGGGCAGATGTAGATTTTTTGGTGGATGGGGTGGTCGATGTAGATTTTTTGGTGGCCGGGGTAGATGTAGATTTGTTGGTGGTCGGTGAAACTGATGTAGATTTTTTAGTGGTTGAGGTTGTTGATGGTGAGGTTGCCGAAAAAGTAGATATTGTGGTGGCCGAGTTAGTTGGAGTTGTGGTAGACGTAGTTGACTTTGTTGTTGTAGGGGTACTTAATTTCGTGGTGGTCGAGGTAGCTGATGTTATGGTTGAAGAAGTGGTAGATGAAGTTGAATAGGTAATTGTTGTGGTGGGAGAAGTACTTGATGTTGTAGTGACAGACGTAGCTGATACTGTGGTGGTAGAGGAAGTTGATGTTGTGGTAGTAGAGGAAGATGTGGTGGTGGGAGAGGTAGCTGATGTGGAGGTTGCAGAGACAGTCGATGTTGTAATAGATGTAGTTGATGTGGGGGTGGTAGAATTAGTTGATGTGGTGGTGGTCGAGAGAGTTGATGCAGCGGTGGTAGACATTGTTGATTTTGTGGTGGTCGAAGTGGTTGATGTTATAGTTGAAGAAGTGGTAGACGAGATTGAAGAGGTAACTGATGTTGTGGCAGAAGTATTAGATGTGGTACTGGCAAATGTAGATGATATTGTTGTGGTAGAAGTAGTTCTTGTAGTGGAATAGTTACTTGATGTTATTGTGGAAGAAGTTCTTGTTATTATCGTGGTAGAGGAAGATGATGTGGTTGTGGGAGAGATAGTTGATGTTGTTATAAGCGTAGTTGATGTGGCGGTGGCAGAGGTAGTTGATATTGTGGTTGAAGAGGTACTTGATATTATGCTGGTAGAGGCAGTTGATGTTGTGGTTGAAGAGGTACTTGATATTATGGTGGTAGAGGCAGTTGATGTTGTTGTGGCAGAAATAGTTGATGTGATAGTGAGAGAGGTTGTTGAAACTGTGGTGGTAGTGGTAGTTGATGATATAATCGTTGATGAACCTGATTTTGCGGTGGTAGAGGTATATGATGTTGAAGTGGAAAAGGTACTTGATGTTACAGTCGACGAGGAACTTGAAATTGTGGTGGAAGAGGAAACTGATATTGTGGTGATATAGGTAGTTGATGCTCTAGTGGGAAAGGTATGTAATATGGAAGTGATAGACGAAGTAGAAGTTGAAGTGGAAGAGGTAGTCGAAATAGTGGAAGATATAGTGGAAGAGGTAGCTGATGTTGTAGAGGGAGAAGTTGATGTAGCAGAGGTGGAGTTAACTGCTGAAGTTGTATGGTTGGTTGTTGTTGTAATCGAAAACGTCGTTGATGTAGTTGTGGTAGAGGTAGTTGATGTAGTTGTGGTAGAGGTAGTTGGTTTAGTGGTGGTAAACGCAGTTGGTGTAATGGTTTTAGAGGTTGTTGAAGTTGCGGTGTAAAATATAGCCGACGTAGTGAAGGAGTTACTTGATATTGTAGACGTAGAGGTTGAAGTAGCAGACGTAGTTGATTTTCTGGCGACAGAAGAAACCGATGTTGTGGTGGAAAAACTTGTTGATGTTGTAGTTGACGATGTAGTCAGTGTTGTGGTGGTAGACCCAATTGACGTTGGGCCGGTAGACGTACCTGAAGTGACGGAAGAAATAATTAATGTTGTAGTCGAAGAAATACTTGATGTTGAGGATGTAGATGTAGTTGTTGTTGAAGTTAAAAATGTAGTTGATGTGGTGGTAGGCGTAGTTGATATCGTGGCTAAGGTAGTTGATATTGCAATCGATGAGGTAGTTGATGTTGTAGTGATAAAGGTAGCTGATGTAGTCGTAAAAGTAGTTAACGTATATAGAGAGGTTGTTGATGTAGAATTGTTTATGGTAGTTGATGAGGACGTGATAAAGGAAGTTAATGCATTGGTGGTAGAAATAATTGTGGTAAGGGTTGAGGATGTAGATGTGGTGGTAGAGGTACTTGATGTTGTAATGGAAGACTTAGTTGAAGCAGTGGTGGTAAAGGTAGTTGATGTGGTGGTGGCACGAGTTGTAGATGTTGCGGTGGTGTAAGTTGATGCTGTGGTGAAAGACGTAATTGAATGTTTGGTGGAATAAGTGGTTGATGTCATAATGGCAGATGTGCTCATAGGGGAGGAAATTGATGTTGTGGTGGTAAAGGGAGTTGAAACAGTGGCGGTAGAAGTAGCTGATGTGATGGTAGAGTAAGTTGATGTTGAAGGTGAAGAGGTAATTGAAGGCGAGGTGGTCGACATAGTTGATGGTGAGGTGGCCGAAGAAGTTGATAATGATCTTGTAGTGGAATAGGTACTTGATGTTACTGTCAAAGAGGTACTTGTTATTATGGTGGTAGAGGAAGATGATGTGGTGGGAAAGATAGTTGATGTTCTGGTGGAAGAGGTACTTGATGTGGCAGTGGAGGAGGTAGTTGATAATGTGGTGCTAGAGGGAGTTGATGTTGTAGTGGAAGAGGTAGCTGATGTTATCATCGAAGAGGTACTTGATAAGGTGGTGGAAGAGGTAGATGATGTTGTAGTAGAGGAAGATGATGTGGTGGTGGGAGAGGTAGTTGATATGGAGGTGGTAGAGACAGTCGATGCTTTCATAGATGTACTTGATGTTGATGTGGTTGGTAGAAAGGACGTTGATACTGTGGTGGAAGAGGTACTTAATATTATGGTTGAATACGTAGTTGATGTTGAAGTTGAAGAAGTAGTCGATGTTTTGATCGAAGAGGTAGTTAATGTTGTGGTAATAAAGGAACTCAATGTCTTAGTGGAAGACATAGTTGAAGTAGAGGTGGCAGAGGGAGTTGATGCAGTCGAGATAAAGGTAGTGGACATAGTGGTGGTAGAAGAAATTAATACTGTGGTGAGAGACGTAGTTGATAGTGTGGTGGACGATGTGATAGTGATAGTGGCTGTAGATGTGCTGATAGGAGGGAAAGTTGATATTGTGGTGGCTGACGTAGTTGAAGATAGTGTTGAAGTAGTCGACATACTTGATGGTCTGGTGTTAGACATAGTCGATTTTGTAGTTGTAGGCATAGTTGATTTAGTAGTTGTAGGGATAGCTGATATTGTTGTGGTCGACGTAGTTGATGTGAAAGACCTTGGTGATTTCGTTATTGCCGACGTACTTGACTTGGTGTGAGATGTAGTTGGTATAATGGAAGAGGTAGTTGATGTGGTGGTAGAGGAAGTTGATGTTGTAGTTGAAGAGGTAATTGATGTTTCACTCGAGGAGGTAGTTGATGCAGTAGACATAGTCGGTGTGGTGATTGAGGTACTTGATGATGTAATGGAAGACACAGTTGATGAAGTGGTAGAAGAGGTAGTTGATGAAGTTGTTGTAGAGGTTGTTGATGTTTTGGTAGTAGACGAAGTTGATGGTGAAGTTCTAAAGGAAGTTGATGTGGTTGTAGTAAAACGAGAAATAGTGAAGGAAGAGATAGTTGATGTCGAGGAAGAAGTAGATGATGTAGTGAGAGTGGAAGTTGTAGTGGTAGTATGGATAGTTGATTTTGCGGTGGTCAAGGTGGGTGATGTTATGGTGGAAGAAGTCGTAGAAGTTGAGGTTGAAGAGGTAATTGATGTTGTGGCAGGAGAAGTACTTGATGTGATAATGAGAGAGGTAGTTATGATGGTAGAGGGAGTTGATGTTGAAGTTGAAGAGGTAGTCGATGTTTTAATGGAAGAGGTAGGTGATAT